TCTGTTCTATTTTTCCTCGTCTTTTTTCATGTACTTGTGTTTTGGTTGGAACGGAACGAAGAACAAATGTACAATGTCTAAAGAGCAATTGCTTTGGGGTTTATTTTTGGGACGCAATAGAGTATGTTGAACGCGGTGACATTGTGTAAGTGGCAATTGTTTTTGGTTCTTTAAGAGTCAACGTTGCACCAACCTACTTTTCCAATCTTTCAAACAATTCAGGTACTAAGATCTGAAATTCCCTTCATTTTAGAACACATCCTTTTTCTTTTGAAGATGAGGAGGATGTGGCATTTTCCCATTCCTCACACATGCACTTATACAGAGTCACACAGTTGTTTTCCCAGTTCACACCACTCCCCACTTCTTTCATTTCATCAATTTCAATGAGGAATGAATACATCGTAAATAAGAAAACATGCGTCTTGTATGTATAAGATGATTGTAACTGTTTGATCGATCTCAGTAATTCATGAAATGCTTACTCTGCTCTCAAGCGTGTAAGCAAAATGTCAGATGCCATAGGCCTTAAGGTCTTGATCTAGATTGTTTTTCTTCTACTTTGTGAATTTTTGTTAAACAGAGTCTGGTATTTCCTTATCTGCTTGATCAGAAAGGTCAATTCTAGTCCACTTTCTGCGCAATGAGATCAACAGCAGGGTGCCTGTTTGGGAAGAGAGGCCACAGATTAAGCCTATCCAGAGCCCCTGAACACGAGGAAAATGGTGTAACAAAGAGAAATCAGAATGGAGTCAAGATTGATGCCTCAAAGACTCAGAAAAAAAAAAAAAAAAAGGGAAAAAGGTTGCCTCCTTTCACCTTAGCATATAGCTTCAACTTAAATCCAAGAACAGCTGCCATAGGCATGCCGATGAAATAGAAAGTTCCCAAGTTAGCCAACACAGCCAAATGCTGCCACCCACATCCCCTGGCCACCCCTGCAACATCATAAAATTTACTTGTACCATACCAATATATGCCAATGAGGTCTAAGTCTAGTGCTTAAGGGATATCGAATAGTACGAAAAAAAGAAAAAGAAACATTAATATGCAACACAATCTGAAATCTTTGTGCATGATTAGAAAATTTTGAGGATTAGAACCTGATAGGACACCCTGTATAGAATCAAGTGCAATTGAGATAGCAAGGAAGGGTGTCAAGGAGGCAAACTTTTCAATTATTGAAGAACTGTCACTGAAGAAACTGGCCCAAATGTTATGGCCAAAGGCTAAAGTGATGATAAATGCAAGTGCAAGAAGGACAGAGAGCTTGAGAGTCACAGCCATGGCATTCTTAGCCCTTTCCGGATTTCCAGCACCCAACTCATTTGAAACCCTTGTGCTGTCATAGTAAATTTCATTCTCTCACCATTCGAAATAGGGAGAAAGAAGAGAACTTTAGAGATTAATTATGTACTGTAACACTAACCTTGCTGCTGCACTAAGACCATATGTGATCATGTAGGCAATGGTTTCTGTGTTCACACTAGAAAACCCCAAAAGAGACAAAAATCTGCAAGGTCAAGCTTGACAAACAACCAAAACAGATTTAGGACAATTTAAAAAAGATCTCAAGGCTTACCACATTGCAATCAGTGACGTAGTTATTTCTGAATCAGGCATAATTCCTGCTAGGAACACAAGAATCTCAAATGCCCAGTACTCTAAACTGCCAAAGAAACATGAAAAATGAACACAAGAGTACGAGGTTAATTACGTGACTTCAAATTATACTTTCTTACTTACAGTGGCCTTGTTTTATTATATAGTGAAAAGTCTTAAAGCTCACCAAACCATTGCTGCAGAGGGCAGGGCTAGTCTCAGGTCTGTAAGGATGAAACAGAATGGCTCAAATGAGAATCCTTCCCATGTGTGCTTGAATTTCTTCGAAGACATGACATAAATTGCTAACACAAGACATGATATCCACAACGAGATTGAAGCTGCCAATGGAGCTCCCTTGTAACCAAGACTTGTCCAATTAACCAACACGTACACGATGCCAAAATGAATCACCATTGGTATCACTGAGAGCAAGACCAGGGGCATTACCATGCTCTGTGTCTGAAGAAACCTCTGGATGTTTTGCAAGAAACCGTATGCAAATACACCTGGCATCAGAAACTTCATATAGAGAGCAGCTGTTTCAGAAATTTGAGCATCCTGTTTAAGTAGGATGAGTATTGGCTCTGTGTAGAACCATAAGACGGATATGATAACAGCAAAGAAGCAAGAAATGATACAGGATGCTTGGAGGTAAATTCCCAGCATTCTGTATAACTTTGCACCAAATCCTTGGCCACAAAGTGTCTCCAGTGCTCCACTTAATCCCACCTAAAGGAAGAAGAAGGAACTCAGATGATTTTCTATCCTTCATAGCAAAACTAGTCCAATAACAGGTAGGTAAGTTATTCATGTTAGAACTGAATTGCGAGATTCATTAGAATCCAAGTCTAATGTTCGAAACCCAAAAATCCCTATTACACTAATAGTTGAATACATTTAAAAAGCAGAGAAAAAGATGTACTTTAACACAGTTAATCATTAAAATGAGCTAGTCAAATAAGATATCAAACTTGATGAATGAAAAGTAAAAAGCAAACAATTTTAGTAGCTTTTGCTTTGAACATCACACATTTAGAATTCAAAAAACAATGGAATTAAGGTTACTTACCGTACTTATTCAGTTGTCTTCCCAACATTACCGCATGCACAGGCCCACATCATAAAGTCAAACTAGTTCAGCTTATGAGATCACGATTCCTCATTATTGAATTTCTCATCTTGTACACTCAAACTGTTGGATTACTATTACTTTACCCAAACAAAAGTTTTATTTTAGGTATGGGACAAAGGGATTGCTTAGAAAAACTAAAATTCTCGAGTGTTCACAGCTGGCATGCATTTTGAAAGTTTAAACTGAGCTAAACATGTTTTTCATAAAAAAATTCTCTAGTTTTCCTAAGAATTTCTCTAGTGCTCTGATAAAAAAAATGAAAAAAAGTCAATTTAGGTTCTAATAAACTAGAAAATGAAATCGTATAACTTCTAAAACTTGGAAAGTAAGTTAGAAATGTTTTTGAAAAAATTTTATTTCACTCGACTTCTGTTTATATAACTAAGAAGCTACACTTTACCAAAGTCGACGTAGGACATAAAAGAAAAATGGCAAATCTGAAACTGAATTTAACAAAGATTGAAATTGAAAGTAGGAGATAGGGGAGGATCAGGATAATAATAATTACCATAAAAGCAAAGCCGGTGACGGTGGCCCAAGAATTGGCTAGGGTGGCGCCGGCAAGCTCAAGTTCTCCGAGGTGGCCGGCGAACATGACCGAAACCAAAGTAATGGAATAGTAGAAAACATTAGTAAGGATCATGGGCAGCGAGAAGAGAACTTGATTCTTGGCCTCTCCAACATCCAAAACATTACGCCACCAACTTCCTCCTCCTCCATGACCACCGCTGCCGTCGCCGCTCGCCTCCAACAAGGGTTGATCTGTCTCGGCAGTCGTGTCCAACGACATCACTTCCAACTGTCTGTCCGCTTTCTCCTTATCGGAAAGCTTCCCCTGGAAAACAGAGGCTTAACTCGCGTAGGGTAATCTATGAACTGAATAGGACATGTTCAGCTGGAGGACGGAAGGTCGCCCACTGGTATAAGGGTCAGCGTCGGCCGCCTTGGATTGTTAGTAAATATACTGATTGTATAATTGTAAGTTTTGTATTTCATGTACGGTATTTATTTTCCTCTCAAACTTTGTGCAGCACACATGCAATTATAGAAGCCAACGCTCCCACTAGTGGGTTGTTTCCTTTGCTCTAGTCGGAATCAGCTTTTGTGAACTGCATTTTTAAATGTCATAAATCTTTTTTTTTAATCCCATATATTAAAAAAAATTAAAATATTTTGATATTAAAAAATGTATAATAATAATTACATAATAAATTTAATAAAATAAAGATTAACATTATATTTTATTTATTATATAATGATTATTATATATTTTTATTTTTTATATTTAAATATATATTAATTTATTTTCCTTTAAAAAAAAACACATGCCATTACGTGGGAACGTTCAGGCGGTTCAGCTTATTTTATCCGTACATGGGAAAGTCAAAAGAATTTGAAGGGAGAGAAGATACTTCAGATCACGGCTCTTCGTAGGTTGGGTATTTGAAACCGAACCCATAGCTTATTCGAAAATCGAATCAAAAAATAAATTCAGTTTAATTTTAATGGGTTTTTATTTTTACTTTTTTAGTTTTGGTATTAAATAAATAAATTTTGATTTGGTTTTGATTGAACTTTTTAAAAATCAAAAATTGAAAATAAACCCCTTAAAATCAAAATTAAAATAAATATAATAAAATATTTGATAAAATATAATCTATTATTAAAAAAATAATTAATTAATATTTATTTACCAAAAATCCAAACCAAACCAATTTTAACCAAAACCGATTTTTGCCAACCTCTAGCTCTTCCTATTAAAATTGTAGCAGCTGGGAGTCAGAGATGTACATATCAATATTTTTTAAACTTATTTAACATGTGCTAAAAGTTATTATAATATCAATTATATATTTTTATATTTAATTTTTATTAAAAATCACTATAGTTAATTTTATTTTTATTATTAATATTACATATATATTTTTTATTTTAAATTATATAATAAAAATATAACACATTTTTATTCTTTAAATTCAATCTAACTACATGTCATGCTATCAAAATTTAATAATTATTACTTTCATAAAAACATTTATTATTAAATCATTTAAATAATTTGACCACACTGCCTTTAACTTAAATAAATGAAATTTTTGTTTTTGAGAGAAGAGAAACTTTTTATATATTATTTATAATAAGATTACAACAAGTACTTTAATTCAGCATCTTGAAGTAGTAAACATAACAAACCCGAAGGAGGGCAAGTACCTGGCCTTAAATAATTTTCCGGAAACATTCCATTAGCCCGCCCGAGTAAGAACTTGTTCAAGATTAAAAATAACTTGCTCAAAATATTTCTCATTTTTTGCCTTTTATGCATTCCAACAAATGAGTCCCCATTGTACGCCAAATAAGAAATACCTGTTTGATTTTTAGTATCAGTCAATATTTCCATCACTCTACAAAAGTTTTCAACCTCAGTTGCCTTGAAATAACACCCAAGGCTAAATCAAACCATATTAGCTTAACATGTATATCAAGATTCATTAAAAAGTTGAACTAACACAATGAGCCTAATAATTAACCACCAAGCCTAAGAACTTGAGTTCAAGTAAATGAAAATTTTACTTTTACAACTTATTTGAAAATTCCCCCCCTCTCCTCAACTTCCCTACGTTAAAAAAAAAAAAAAAAAAGACTTGTCAAAAAGTTGACAATTCTTACAAAGAGCATTGTTCACAATCCCTTTTATTATTAAATTATCTAAAATAGGTAACCTATCAAGGATGACTCTCCGTAAAAAAACCTTAATCTTAGGAGGTAATTTAAGCTTCCAAAGGTGCTTCCATTTTGCAGAAGAAATAGAGTTATTACCTTCCAAAA